TTTTTTTAAAAGGACATAATGTAATGGAAATTTTTTTTTGAAAAACCGTAATCATCCTTTCAATCGCCGTGTTTCTTCGAAAAAGAACAAATCTATGATTCTGAAATATTTTATGTTTCTGTTGATGGGTTACTGTAAATGCCGGATTATTTTAATGCCGAACGAAAAATTGCTCAGACTCACATACGGAATTTTTTAACTATCGAAAAATTTACACAACTTTTTTCCGCGAATATTAAATATAGTTTATCATTCTTATCAATTTTATCTGAACTACGGGAATCTGCTAATCCTACTCGTTTTGCTACCATCGCTAGCTCAATGTAATAAAATTCTGCATTCCCAAGGCGAAAAAGTTTTCTTTATCTTTTTGTTCTTCGGGTAAATCAGTAGTGAGACACGTTTTCTCATTAATTTACATAATTTCAATTCACCAGATTTCCTGCCCAGAACGAATAAAGGATGGATTGATTTTATCTGTAAAGCACACGACTACCAAAAAAAAAAAAGATACCGTACACAAATAACCCATCCTTTTTAGGAAGATTTTCAAGAAAAGGAAACCTTTTATTTGTGTATGATGATCACTATGCTTGATGTCGAAAAAAGTGCTCATAAATGAACTACTCGATACTCAAGACTTCAAGAGTAAGTTGTATTCCTTTAAAAATCCTCGCTTCGCTGTGTAACTCCTAATTTTAATATATTACATCACATTACTTCCCTGTCCCTTTCTTTTTTTTTAATAGTCAGCTGTTTTCTGAATGTTGAAGATTCAAGAAAATACTTCCGGACGCGAATGTCGAACGCAAACAGTTATATACATGTACAGGAAAAATTTCCTCATTTGGTCGGAAAATGTCTTCTTTGAAGATGAGCTGCAGTGCATTAGACTAATTTGGTTTTCGAAAGGAAACGTGTTATTACAGCGAAATGCAGCGTACCTGGAGTATTTCCGGTGCGGCATAAGCTACACTGCCGCAAAAAGTTGAGCTCAGCATTGGTAACCCAGTACCCGGGTTGAGGAATCCTCTGGCGAACCCAAAATCTGTCAACTTGATGACCCCGTCCGGAAATCTGATCACATTCTCGCATTTCAGATCCCGATGCGCAATTCCACGCCCGTGAAGATACGCCAAAGCAGTCACTATTTGTCTGAAATATTATCCCGAATCAGCGTGCAATTCCTGGAGTGGAAAAGCAGGAGATATATTGACTTGAAAATCCCTCGAGCCTCAGGGTCGAAGATGGGACCGGATTTTTGCACATAATCCAGTAAGTCTCCTTGGCAACCGTACTCCATGAAGACACAGACCAGAGGCCCGAGATCAACGATTTGCTTGACTTTCACCAGATTTGGGTGATTGATTGATCGGATGATGGCCAATTCTCGGGGTAGGAACTTCGTAGCGTAGGATTTTGAGGCTTTCCTCGTATCGATCAACTGAAATTACATATTCCAGAATCCTGACCGAACTGGAATCCTTGGATTCAGAATATGGCACAACTTTTTATAGCCCTTTCAAATAAAATTGATATTTCTGTGTACTCCATGGGTATTCCAGCTTTCTTTTCTGGTGTTCTTCGGCAATCCGATCTAACTCGATGGCTTGAACAGAACGCACCAAAAAATGCTGCATAGACGAGGAATTAAAGAAAACAGCACCTTTTTCCACATATGAAGTTGAGCACTACAGAATACTGTAATGCTCTGGTTGCGAAAAATTCACTAATTAAAAGATATACAGTGTAAAAAAAAAAAGCTCTCATCATCCGTGACTCTGTCTAATATTCTCTTTATAAATTTGTTTCTTAAATTTAATAGCACGAATAGTTTACGCTAGCCTTGTTCAATTTAATTTCAGTGCGTTCGGGTTACATTACAATATGAGCGTTAAAATTAGTGATTCCACTGACATCTATGACACATTGAAGCAAACCAAACGAACGGATTAGCGCAAAAAATAACGATAACAAATCGAAAGTATTTTTAATGAATAGGATAATTTATGCTTTTAGTAGTTCGTAAAAATTTCTTCTGGTTATAGAAACCTGATTTGCTTTACTGAGAAATCCTGCAGTGACGATACAACCTTTCAAATAGCTAAAATTATGCAATCATAACCTATAGTGAAACACCTAATGCAGGTTGACTATCTACGAAGAATTGTTTCTGGTCCCTTCAATTTCGTTTTAGAGAACTTCAAATGAAATGTGGAGAGATCATTTTACTTGAACATAAAAAATCATACCGATAAATACATCGAAATCATAGCCAATAGGCCCCCCGAGTTATTAGGGCTGGAAATAAATCGTTGAGACTATTTTCCCGAAAAGATAAGAACTCAAAGACACGAAACTTAGAGATAATTTATTTTCAATATCTCTAGAACTAAATTGATAAGGGACCTGAAAAAATTCGAGAGCCCCTATAACATGGTGAGAACCCTGGGACCTAAAAATAAATTTTTTTATACAGAGAAAATAATTATAAAATAAGAGCAGTGCACAGAGTCAACCTAGTTGAGCATCTAGCATCAAATGAAGAGAAAATTAAGAAAATGGTTTACTTTTCCTGTCGCCAAAACAGTAGCCCCTTGAATGAAACCATTACCAAAGGTTTTAAATGCTCTTTAATTCGTTCTTTCTTGTTTGTTTGTCTTTTTTAAACCAACGGGAAGAAATTGACCTTGCAGGCAACTTTCTCACTCCTGCGGCCAGAACTGTCAAATTTCTCCGCAAGTTTAACTTTGGAGTAGGACCCAGTCCCGACCGTGGGACCCATTCTATAGCCGAGCTTCGTTAGAAAATGCGTATAATGTGTGGACTCCCTCTGGCGGCTGGAGGTGGAACCAGCAATGGCACGCTCCACGGGTTTATCCTCAGTTTTACTCCGTTCTTGCGACACCTTATTGTCTGTCGTCGAGCAGCATTGGCGCCTGCCCTGAGAACAACACGACGGCGGCGAAAACCGCCGCCCGACAGAACCCGCCGTGCCGGAACTAGGTTCGAATGCCCCAACTTGCCGAACCCGGTGCGAGACAGAACCGGGTTCCCCGCGCCGTGGAAAGGCCCCCGAAACACCTTCCATATGGCTTTTTATGTATGCGGCTCGAATATCTTATAGACTCCCTCGGGGGGAAAATTTGAAAGTCAACAGGAGCTCGTTTATGAGAATTTTATTTAGGGGGAAAAATAGGAAGAAATAGGGGAGGGGGAGAAGAAAGAAAGAGCTTACATACACGGCTACCAGAAATGCATGAAAACGGAGGATGAGTAACGTAGGAGGCCAGGGGAAGTTAATGTCGCGAAAAAGATATTACTGTATGAGACGGAATGTGTTGGCCTCAAGAGCAGGCGAGAGTAGTTGGGAAAACAGTAAGGAAGGGAATTAAGAACGCCTCGCTCTGCGAAAAGAGACGAGCAAATTTCCGAGTACACATAATGGGACCTTATAGAGTCTCAACTGGAGCATTTTATTGATGGTCGGAGATGGTCAACCCTCATCTTTCTGCGGTGCTGCAAAGCTGTGACGCGAGAACGCATATTGCTAATAATTTGCTAGTATACGTCGTGAATTCTTTCACAAGGTTATGCTTTTAAATTTGGGAGAGCCAAACTTTCAGCATGTCCGGAGGCTCTAACGATCAATCTACAGTTTTGCTATGTTTTTTAGTACAGTATATTGACCAACTGCAATTGCATATCATTGCATACGAAAACAAGGGTAGAAAAAAATATACTGTAGTAGCGTGAACCGCGATAACTCAAACCTCTCGCAAGTCGAATATACATTCTTAAGTCGAAATTTTTTCAAGTCCCTCTCTGAATCATTTAACAGGGATGCATTAACGACCTCCGTAACTCAAAGGTTTTCCTCCTGAGAACCTATAAAACTCGAATTTTGTGGGGTCCTTTTAGGCTATTATTTTATTGACACAGGGAAGATGAAAATGTACAGCTGATGGATGTGTTTTGATGGGAAGTGAAGGATTGATTGGGCAAATGAACACGTCTCCAATTTCAGCATACTTTAAATTTGATGACAGAGCAATCTGAAACCCATCACACTTTCCTGCAATTTTGCTTTTCTTTTCAAAATTAAAGTGACCTTTTCTGCGACTAGAAACTTCGCTATAATTTGAATCGTTAGCTTCTCCCTTGGAATTCGACTTCAATAAGATATTGTATTATTTTTAAACATGAGCAGGTACAATAATTTCCATTTAAAGTATTATAAGAGGACGGAGACATGACGCTGAAAAGACCATGAAAACCCCCTTCAACCAAAAAAACATCCACACAGAGTCTTTTTATTTTAGCCCCAACGTACGAAGAATACGCCGTCCTATGGAATATTAAATCAGTGTGCTGCAGTTATTTGCACAGTACAGTATCTTGCTTGAAAATGTCTCGTAATTTTTGTCTACCTTCTTGAATTAATAAACATTTCCTCGCATCGAATCAAATTATGTTGTACTCAAGGGCATCCATTATTGACTTCCACGCGGGTGTCAAGTAAGCCAAGGTGAAGATCGATTTTATGACATAGTGGAAATGCATTTTCGTGAAATTACAAATTTTCTATTTGATCATCGGAACGCAATCTGGTAGCAACAAAACTTGGGGAATTGTCCGTTCGTTCACGGAAAATTTTCGATTGAAATTATTTCTTACACACGTCATTCTTACTCGTCGTGTTTGCATTAAAGGGGCCACTATTCAGTTAGAAAGACTTGGCACACACAAAATATGTTCCAGAGGTCCAATAAGAGGCCTTGTGCGGAAAACGGTTTCAGACATTGATGGATACTCGGCGAGTTATTAGGATCCTAGCTCCAGGGAATCCCGTAAAATTTGACGCGATTATTACATTATGAATGACTGACAGAAGCGATATCGATTTGCGATAAAAAGCGGTTCACATTTTCCCTGTTGTTGGTGCTTGTTTGGCGACTCGGTATTTCGTGCCAGCAGCAGTGCTGTTCCGACACGCAAGCTCGTTTGGTGTGCAGCAATGGTTGTGGCTTCTGGTTTTTACCCGCACTTTTCGCAAAAAAATGTGTGCAACTGTGCATTTTTACCGCACTATTATCAGCGATATGGTTAATCACGATTATTTTGAACATCTTTACCTTTTCCATCAGTGATTTTAGTTCTATAATACTGTACAACAACAAAAAAGTTCGGGCGCTTTCATTCGTCGAGAGGTAACATCCACTTCGCGAAATGTGTCGCGACTTCTTTGCATCCATTCGGACAGCTGCAAAACTATTCATACATAAGCACTATATACACTAGAGTACTAGACTACTAGAGAATATAGCTTTCTCATCTGTCTGGAGTACATAACCGGTTATGACTTACTCTGTAACCACACCGTATATCACCCAAATATCTGAATCACCATAAGCGAGCGAATCTTTCTTTGATCTCCTGGAGATCTACAGTTATACAGACTATCATCCAGGAGAAAATTCCTTTTCCCCACGTTTTATTAATGAGCGTCTAAAAACAAGTTGTTTCTGTAACAATGAAGATCCTAAGATTTGGAATTCCAGGTTATTATCAACTCCGATAGTCTTTTGATGCAAAATTGAAGGAATTGGGAATTTTTAACAAAAAACTGGTTTAGTGAGTTTTGGTCGAGACGATTATCCAAAAAATTAAAATATCAATAGCAGTACAGCATTTTCTGATATTGCTTTCGATTCAGTGCCGCGCAGAAAAACTAATGTAAAAAATTATTTTCATGCCCTTTATTTTTCTGGAAACCTTCTCCGTCAGAATTTTTACCTCCTCTCACCCTGACCAACTGTAATTTGCTCCGAAGCCGTGGAGTTGCCTTTTAGTTTTCGTCGACGAAACATAAGTTTCCATCTTCTATAATCTATATCATCTATAGCCTTCAATGACAAAAAAAACAGTTTTTAGTTGATGCATTTCATTTCTCTTGACTTCTGGAAATAAAATATATCATATCAAACCTCTTGGAGACCACACCGTATCATACCTCTTTGTCCACTGTTCCCTTTTTAGGCCCGCGTAGACCAGCACATTTCCATAATTTTTTACAGACTAGTAAATTTCCCACAAATTTTCAGTGGACTGGTAAAACGTTTGCAGATTTGAACAAATTTTGCCTGAAAGACTTTTGTCACGCATATACAAAATATCTGCTTTTTTCAGAAATTAAGAATGAAGAACTAATGAAGCAGGTATACAGTATATAGGGGATGTCTTCAAAAATTATAAAGGTGGGCTTGAAGAAAGATTTCTCAGAAAAAAATAAAAATAATAATTTCTTTCAGCGGGTGAACATTTGTCGGTAGTGTTATTAGACAAAAAGCCAACTTTTATTTTTGATCAGCCAATTTCAACTGCCATTGTATTTTTGACATTTCAGATAGAGATAAAAGAGTTCATTAATTTCTTTGTTCCTTCATTAGGCTGCGGAAAATTTCCCGCAGTCCACGGGTTGGAAATATTGTATTTGTCTATTTTAATTTTAAGAAAGTATACTGCTGTAGCAAGCACATGCGTCTAAGTTCTTGAGAGACAAGAATGAAAACCTGTGCGTTAATTTCGATTATAAAAATCCAACTGAGCTTGTGAGCTTCATTGATATAGGGGTCAAAATTCGTTCACAGACAGGGACCTCAAGGTCGAACGAAATTGACGCGTCGCATGCGATTTGCGAATATAGTGGGTTCAAAACAAAAAAACATGCCACTGCATGAAAAATCAATACAACAAATCACGTCTTTCGGACTGCATCAAACGAAACAAGCTCCAACGAAAACGTTACTATCGGAAGGCATCCAAAGACAATTCCGATGCACCATGACAACCACGTTAAGCCTGGCTTAATTAATCGCTACCCTCCGAAGAGAGGACCATTCTTCAGCATGGGACATCACAGGAAAACAACTTCGGCCCCGCCCCAGCAGCTGCTGATGCCGTTGCGGACGTCCAAGCAGGTATTTATCACGAGGCCTGCAATAACGTCGCCTGCTCTCGCACCTGGTGACAGCATCGTCTGGAATGTACCGGAAGTGGTCTCCAAGGTGGCATTTACTCCGTACAAGACACTTCCTTCGATTCGAAGCAGCAGCAGCAGCAGTAGAGATGTTGCATCACGTGAGTCAGCAACTTCTCTGACTCATTTTCCTCACGTGAAAATCCAAGCTTAGGTTATTACGCACGTCTGGGGTTGGGAATTATATTTCATTTACGTGTGCCTTTCTGCTGATAATACCGTAAATAACCAACAGTATTTACCGTAGTGATAAAAATTATCCCTTTTATTAGGCGATGAATGCAGGTCGCATTCGTTCAAGTATTACTCTGCCTTGGTCGATGATTTCAGGGGAAAACTGCAGCAAAAAATAAAGCGTTCTAATGTGGGTGAATATTTCAAATTTATTAGCTCAATCGCATTTTCAAACATTCTTGAGGCGCGTGGTGCCGTTCATATTCATGGTAATGCTTTAGCCAAAGTGCAGTCCTAGACAACTTGTTTTCCACTGAAGATTCCATGATTTTCTCATGTGTATGCATATTGAGGATTTTCAAAAGTTGAACTTGAAAACGCAATATTGTATAAAGTTGCGCCTGAAAGTGAAAAACTTCGTTCATTTCATAGCGATCAACAGTACGCTGTATAAAGTAATCTATCTTTAAAACTTTGCATTACTTTTAAATGCAATGTACTGTATATTCTCGCATATTAACATCAGCACATATATGAAATTTCTTCAATGCAATGAAGAATTTTAAGAATAGTTTGCCGACACATGGATCTTTTCAATTGATGTTTTTCGAAATTTATCTTTCGAAAAAACTCCAGAAAGAAGTGCAGAATAATGAGGCATTTCCCGTGGCAATGTTAGTTTAATTTGAAACCGAGCATTTATAACGTGTCCACCCAACATGATGTGCTGAACGAAATATTTCATTGGCTCGTACAACGTAGCCAGAAAACGGAATTATCCAAGGCCATCGCATTAAAGAAAGGGCATGAATATTCGAAAATGCTTGAGTTATTCACAGACAGTACTTGAGCCAGTTGTTTGATGCATATCAGAAAGATATTCAATGTGTAGTTTGAAGAAAGCCATATATCCGTAACAGAGGCAGAAACTGCAGAATACAATTTAATGGGTACACCATCAAATGCACAGGCAGAATGTTTCTAAAGTTCAACAATACAGTCAACACCCGTCTAACAGACTTACTTTGTGCAATGGAAAAGTCTGTTAGATGAAAAGTCCCTTAGACCAGTGTTCCTTAACCCATGGTCTGTGGACCAGTGCCAATAAGTCACAGAGGTTTTTGGCCAGTCTGGACAAAATCTTCAGCGTAATAAATTTTCAAAAGTAGGGATGAAGTCTGTTCTCTATACCTAAAATTTTGGAATGACGTGGCACTTGAAGTTTGTATGATGAAAATTAATGCTGGCTTTTCTCCTAATAACACTTCAGAAAAATTTTCACCTGCTGAAATCAATAATTTTAATTTTCCATTTTGGAAACCTCTCATCTTCAAGCCTACGTACCTTTCTAAATTTTTGATGACATTCAGCTATAGCTTCTTCACCATCAGTACTCAACTGAATTTTTAGAAACAACATTAATTTTTAAATGCCAGTCATAAATTCTTTCAAGCAACACTTTTGTGAGTCTACAAACATTTTATGAAACTTTGTCAGTCTGCAGATGTTTATTTTTTGGGAATTTGCTAGTCCACGACAAATTTTATGGAAATTTGCCAGTCCATGGGCCCAAAAAGGTTGGGGAACTTTGCTTTAGACAAATAAATTATATAAAACAGTAAAACTTTCAATTGTCAACATTAATTTTGAACCAACAGAAGTCTGATTGGCAGATTTTGTCTGTTGAGCAGCAGGAGGAAAAACTGCCTACAGAGCTGGTCTGTTAGGCAAAAATCTGTTATGCAGGAGGTCTGTTAGGCAGGGGGCCACTGTATTGCACCTATTCATTTTTTGATGGGTACCTTCAATAACTTGTATTGTGATGAAAATTTAACTTTAATTATATTTTTCCAATTAAATTTCAACTAGTGTATTTACTTGAGTACCACGTACCATCAATTAAGACACACATCTACATTTGTCAACTCAACAATTGGATAAAAATGTATACCCAAGTAACATGCGCACCACATTTGTATAGAGACTGAAAATTGAAAATTTTCGCATCAGCATCGACACTTTAACTTGAATTGGAAATAAATTTAATGCTAATTTTTCATCATTCTCAATTTTCACTTTGTCCGTAGAAATTGGTGAAAACGTTTTTTGTTGGAATCAAATATGTTGTACATAAAATTTTAAATATGCTACACCCGCCTATATGAAGTGCACCCTCTCCTTTTTTCTTAATTTCAGAAAGAAATTGCAAGTGGCACTGGAGTAAATAGGTGCATATTTACTGTTGATGGGATTATATATGCGAGGAATAAGGCATTGCCTAATTGCCGCGATGTTGCGAATAAGAAGTGACGAACCCCACGACAAAAAATCGTCGAACTTCAATGCAGAGGCAAACAAATGGGAAAAAAATACATGATGTAGAATGTTCAAACCCTTAGAGAAGAAGACGTATAAATTCAGCAGAACGTCCGTCCGGAATTTCGCATGCCTTCTGACCCCATTCACAGCGTTCGTCTGTGCAAGACACCAGCTAAATGTTCCGAGGGTACTCAAACTTTAATGCTTAACCCTCAGACACTCTCCCGCCAGGTCAAGGAGAAAATTGGGAGAGACAGAAGCAAATAGCATTAGCCTTGGTTTGGAGAACCCCAACCAAGCTAGCCCTACACCCAATTTCCTCCTCCCTCCCCTTGAACCATGTTGGACCGGGTGCGCCCTCACAGTGAGAGTGGGAGGCACACAGGCTTAATAATGGGACAGCGCTGGCGCACAGAACCTGGTGGAACAAAGCACCGGGTCCAAAAAAAAAAAAAAAACTACCTGAATGCAATGCAAAACATAGCTCCAGGAAATAATTACAATTATTCAAGAGAAAAGCTAGGAAATTTTTTCTCTGTTGCGCGTGTGGAGAATCAGATTTTTTTTATTTCAAAGCAACATGCCCATTGATGAGAACATTGTAAAACTGTAAAAGTGTAGATGAATCCAACAAATGAATGAATGAACAGGACACTTTATTTGCCGCTTTTCAGTGTTCACAAGGCACAACCAAGACTCCTGCATCCAAACCCCCTCCCCACCCCACCCAANAATATGAATGAATGAACAGAACACTTTATTTGCTGCTTTTCAGTGTTCACAAGGCACAACCAAGACTCCTGCATCCAAACCCCCTCCCCACCTGACCCAACTCCCCCAAAGACATTCAATCACTTCAAAGCATGAAACAATAAAGCACAAACCAATGACAAAAACAAAAGAGAACGCACTCCACAAAATAAAACTGGACATCCTACACGTATGCTGCATACACCCTCCCATCCCTCAATATTGAAGACAAAGCAGCAGTAAAAGTTTATTTCAAGCACAAGGTCTTCAGCCTGTTTCTGTGTGAGTTTTAGTTGAATGAACAAATTAGAGAGATGAATCCAATATTACAGTAACAGTTTTTCGGAATAATGGCCAAGGAAGTAATTGCTTTACATTAAAAATTGGTCGTGTATTCAATATGCTTTTTCAGGAGCAGAAGCAAGCGGTGTTGGTCAGTCATGCGGCACTCAAAGTCAACCCAATAAAGACTTCTTCGTCAGGAGCTGCTGTGAACTTCAGCATTATGACGACAGTGGTGCTGGCTACAAACCAATTCGGAGCTGCGACAATCAGCTTACGGGAAGAGAACTTCAGCGTCGGAACACTTTTGATATAATAGAACCGAATTACGGCTTGCAACGGCCATCTGTTGGTCCCAAAGAAGACCATCAAAATGCAAGGCGTTGATATTGCATAATGAAAATGACGTATCCCCAATGAAACCAGGTGCAGTTGAACCTTGATAACTGGAACCTACCTAAGTCAAATAAATCCCTATCTCTTTTTTTATTTTTTTTTCAGTCTACTGTGTGAATTTCCTGAGAAACAATGCTTTGAAGATCTCTCTAATTGGTGACTCAAATTTTCTGCAGGCCTTTTGATTTTTGTTTTGTTTTAGGAATAGGTTAAAAGAAACAATAAAATAACTGGATGTGTTTTGAAAGGAAGTCAAAGATTGATTGGGCCTATGAACACTTGTCTTCATGTTCAGCATCCTGTCAACTCCTTCAAAACAAAATAAAAACAATCTGAAGCTCAGAATATCACCAATCACAATTTCCTGAAATATTCTTATTCTTCTCTAAACAAGTGCTTGTCATCCTAACTTGAAATCTCCCAAATCGATTTTTGCTGTTGATCCCCTGAAGTTCCACTTAGAGAAGTTCAACTGTAATATGCTTCCATTCTGTGATGAAATACCCGCAGCGGATTGTGATCTGATGGGTCTCTATGTTGATGTGTTCCTGTGCTTGGATATATTTTTGTGAAATTATATGCCAGCAGTGGATTATGGGATATATGCGGGATGTAACCACGGATTTTTCGGAAATTTTCGTTGAAATTAGTGCGGCATTATTAAAAGGGGCAGTGTAAAATGTCCTTGTTCTACAAATTTAAAAACGGTCGATCGACGTTTGTGCCATGTAAGAGTGCGAGTGTCATATTCATTTATTGAAAATGTACGAGTCTATCGCCACATAAATTCCTTGTGATACCAAAAGTAAGGAAGGTTTTTCATTTTTGTTCACCTGATTTATGATTTACAAGAACAAATACAATATTTTCATAACATCTCTTAGCACCCTAAATAGAAAGGCAAGTTTGAAAAAAGGTCTCACTCAGAACAAAGAAGTAGACCATTTAATTTCAGCTGGTGAAAATCTGAAGCCTTATTAAGGGAAAAATCAAATTTTATTTTTCATCAGATAATTTTTACTGCTGCCCTCACTGTCTTTCGAAAATGTCAGTTAGAGATGACAGATGTTTTTGAGAAATCAATGCTTTGATGGATCTCCTATTTGCATTGATCTTGGTAGGATTCTTATGCGCATCAAGTTTGTTGCTGATAGACTTCTTTCACACTGAAGTCAGAACAGTTTGAGCAAAACTTCTCTTATACACATCCGTTTCCTTGGCTCCGTTTCCTTGATACGGATCGTACTCGTGCATCAATACATAATCACAAACGTCCACATCTTGGGTTGAGTGATTCTACGAATATTATTTTAGTATGAGTCCCTAGCTTGAGCTCGCTCGAAAGCTTTTATTCCCTTGATGGAAATAACTTCTTCCAAAAAAATGAGTAAAGTTGCGGAAATGTAAAAATAAAAGTAAAATTTGCGGGTCCAAGGGCCAAAAAAGGTTGGGTAACACTGATCTATTCTATTCCATGCAGACAGCTGCATCTGTGACCTGTGGGGAAGGCGGGAACTCGCAAATGGCCGCGCTCGCTTCCGCTGCCCCATCAGTCCGCCTTCTCCAACGGTCGTGGATGGGTCGGGTTCAAGGCCCCGTGGTGCATGAGCTTGACGGTCAAGTGCTGGTAGATATACCCTGTATATATCTTTAGTGAGCTAGAATATGACCACGTGATTCGGTTAAATTATCTTCCGTGAGGATTTTGGCTATCCATCAACTGGGAATTGAATTCCTTGATATGGAACATGAACTTCCATTGCACTGAGTGTTGATTTTAATTGCCATTATCGTCCTAGTTTTGAACTCGTTGTTCTTCGCGTTATGATGGCTCCGAGAGTTCAGACCAGAACTTGCTGTGGAATATTTTTTCCACTTTGACTCTCCATATTTATAGTTTTAATGCCCAAAAGATTTGCTACTTTCTATACTTGTTTCTTGAAAATCAGTGCATTACTGTATAATGCATCAGGTGGACCCCATATCTATACAGGGTGGTGCGCCCGAAAAAAGTGAACCAATTTTGTATATGCAATAGCTAATTCAGTAGCAAATTCAGCTACAGCAAGGAAAGATGAAGACCAAGGGGAAGCTTTCTTAATTCATTTTCAAAGTACTGTATATATCTTTTATGGTCCCAAATGCCTTGGCATGGTCACAAAACCATTTGAATGAAAATTTTCACCAAATAACAAACAATTCATAGTAATTTCTTTCACTAAGCTGAAGTTCTCCAGAGCTGTTTCTAGGAATAAATGGGGCGCAGGACCAGTGATTTAAACAGCAAACTTCATATGTTGTCTTCAAGAAGAGGGTGTGGCACTTGAGACCATAAAACCACATGTTCTTTGAATAAGGGAAATTGAACAAGCTTTAATTTAAATTTATTTGTCATTGCTATAGCTGACTTCGACGCTGATGAGTTATTGTATGTGCATTTGTTCATTTTTTCCATTCTTTACAACAACATTGCCTACCACGTTTCTCTGCATAATTAATTTAATTTTGCATACATGGGTTCTATACAATTAATTTTCTGTCAATTTTTTCTCTTGCTTTTCAGATTAGTGCAAAAGTATTCCTTTGTAAAGATGATCTTCAGGGCATAGATGCTGAGCAAAAATTTGTCACAAAGATTTTGACAATATGCGGTTTAAATATGTTCCGGAGCTTCGATTTTGCTAGCAATTAAAATCAATTTATTTTGAAATTGTGCAAAGGTTAGAAGTTTCAAGATTTCATTCCTGTTGTATGAATAAATATTTTCGAACTCGCCTCAGCCCATGAAGAATGATCTCGTATCAGTGGTGTGCCCTTGAACGTTGTCCAAGATCAGTTCAATCATTGAACCGGGGGCCAGCCTTTGTCCAGATTAACAATAATGAAACATCTTTCGCTGGGAAGGCCGAAATTGACAATTTCATGGTTTTGTTCCCACGCTCTCGTCGCAGTCTTGTCCACTTTCTTACGCAGTAGAATCTAATGAGGGATGAATGTCTGATCCCGTTTGGAAAATTGACTTGAATGCAATATTCAATAAAGTTTTTACACTATGGGCATTGGCTGACTTCGAAAAGTCCGAAGCATTGCACCTGTCTTATGCTATACTGTATAGGTGTCATTTGATGTAGGGGGACGTTGCCAGCGAGGATTCGGGGCCATTACAATTGAATCGAATATGCATTAAAGATTAAATAAATCAGCATTACTCTACTGTACTACCTCATCCGTCCAATAATTGGACTGTGTCTATGTTTTGATTGAGAATGACATATGGTGAGTCATTTGTATGCAAAATCACAGTTTTAAAAATGCATCCTGTGCGATGAAATTGTGACTTATTGGGGTCAGTGAATCATATCACTGGATTGCACAAATTCATTGTTTTTTTTATATTTGCTTCAAGGATCTAGTATTATGAGCTCATACACTTTGAAACAATTTTGAAAAATTGTATACTGTGCCTTCTTATGACGTGCCCCTCTTTTCCCGCTTTATTTAAAAAAAAGGTGAGCTTGCTACATGAGTAAATATGATGTAAAACAATAAATTGTTTCAACATCCAAGTGCCATCTTGTGAAATTATTAAAGACCATGTCCCTGATGCTTTCAAGAATGTTTTATTCCAGTGTTCCCCAATGCGTGGTCAGTGAACCAGTGCAGGTCCCAAGAATTTGTTTGCCAGTCTGTGCGAAATTTTCAGCACAATATTGTACAGGAAGTGCATCAGAAGTTTTAAAGAAGTATGTTATTGTTATATGATGGTTTGGAAAGACAAAAGCAGCTGTTTTTATCTGATTAAAATAAAAGTTGGCTTTTCCAATAACAATGCTCCAGAATGATTTTCACTTGCATATATATGTAAATCATTTCCAGGTTTCCTTCTTGGGAACCATTTTAAAGGCCAGCTTTCTAATATTTTGAAGACATTGTACTATAGCTGCTTCACTGATTCTCAACTTAATTTTAAAAACAGTTTTTTTTGAGGACTTTATTGGAGGTATTTGAAATTTTTCCTGGTGGTCTAAAAAATTTTCACAGGATGCCACTGGTCTCGGAAAGTGTTATAGAAATATGCCGGCCTGCAGAAAATTTCAAAAAAATTTTGCTGGTCCGTTGGTCCCAAAAGGTTGGGGGACACTGTTTCATACAGTATAAGGTGAAATGGAAATCACAGGAATGCAAAACAGGTGGGCTCTCACTGCAGGAATCATGGCTACAATCATTTTCCTTGGGAAAAAATATTTTGATCCAAAAGGTATACTGTAGTCCTCTCTCCATGTTACAGGGTTTCAAACCAACAAAACTCTCTAATGTAAATATTTTCCCAAAGCCCTTTAATTTCATTTTACAGAGTCCACTTTTATTTGGAGTAGCCCTTAGCTGTTTGCATGCAGTTCTTCTGGGATTTCAAGAACACCTGCTTGGTGTATGATGAAACACAGAGCATTTCATTGCATGATGATTATGCTGTATTTGCTGCATTTATACAATGTTGAGTACGTATTTGGATAGACGCCAAGTTCTGACCATGTAGATTGACATTGTATGCCCCTTTAATTTACTTTGCGTGTAAATGTCGTGTTGAAGGAAGCCCGTTTGTGAACAAATGCTTCGGGCATTCTAATCCCTGTTCGCGTACTGTAATGCCTGATGTACTTGTGTTTTTCCCCCCAAAGAATCGGCAACCGCGCAAATCTGATTTTCGCGGCACTGTGGGCAATGACCAATGTGAACGCCGCTTTATGCCATCGCTTGCGGAGCCGTTTGGGTGCAGTGTGATTTCCTGCACTGCTTCGTCCGTCCGTCCACAATAACGTGCGGTTTCTGTACCAGTATTCAACTTATGTGTGTGTATGCACATGTGCGGGACTGAATGGTGAGATTATTTCGACGTTTTCTTTGCCTTCTAATTGGAACACGAGTGCAAGAATGGGGATCAAGGCATTCGTCTGTCTCTCTCATATGGAGAGCTTCAATTTGTACATTTGAAGGATTATATGGATGTTTAAAGGGAATTCTAGTGCAGTCTAGTTGAAATTTACTAATATGGTATACAGCAGTGTTTCCAACCTCTTTGAGCCCAGTGTGTGCATATTTCTGTAAAATTTTGTGTGGCCCAGCAAATTTCCCAAAAATTTTCTGCAGACTGACATAGTTTTATAAAATTTTTGCCGACTCTGAAGAGCTTTGCTTGCAATACCTTATAGCAGGTATATTGAAAAAGTTTCTAATTTTTTTGCAAAAATTAAGAACCAGTGAAGAAGCTAGAAAGGGAAGTCTTGAAAAAATTATAGAAGTGGGCATGGAGAAACGTTTCTCAGAATGAATAAATTAAGATAATTTATTTCATAAGGTGAGAACTTGTCCAAAGTGTTTCTAGGAGAGAGCCAACTTTTATTTTTTATCAGCCAATTTCAACTGCCATTGTTTTTCGAAATTTCAGGTAAAGATAACAGACTTCATTTCTATTTTTGATACCTTTCTTGTGCTGCAGAAAATTTCCCGTGGACTGGCAAAAAACCTCTTTTGACTGGCGCCGGTTTGCGGACCGTAAGGTTGGGAACATTAGTGTACACTGTACATGATAAACTTATTAATAATTTTACAATTATTTATGGAAGTATGATCATTTCAGTTTTCTCCAAAGATTCGGCAAACCTGCGAGTTCTGAAGCAGTTTTCAAGCCAATTTTTTTTGCGATTCTGTATTGATGTGTTTTTGAAGAATCTGCGAGTTTGAACGCGCTTATGCAATAGTATGTTGCGATTCTTGTGAACGAACATAAGCTTTGCGGGATGGTCGAAAAAATTTCTAAACCAGCTTAGATTTAACTTTTAACCCGAGATTCGCCTGTGTTCTTGAAGGTCCACCTGCTAAATGAAGAAGTCTTCATTGACGGGAATGACAAAGTGCTCTTCATTCGGGAAGGTCACACGCTCTCAAGCGATAGGATTCCTTGACTAAGAGATGCTCAGGAGACGCTTGAGGGTCATCAGACCATGGATACTGGTTCCCTTGGCAGCAGCAAGTCTTACATTTATCATTTTCGCCACCCTGTGGATTTCCCAACCATCTGACGACTTTTTCGGACGGGATTCCTCTCAGGCTCTGCGATACGGGGCCAATAAGTAAGTCGATACGATTTTTTGTGATGCGTGGAATCTTCTTCGTTCTATTTCTCGGTAAGCGTATTTAAATATTCTTTATTATATAGTACTTTCTACGGTATTTGCTCGAGTACCACGCGCCCTCGAGTACCGAGTTTTCTGGTCCTAGAATTTGGATAAAATACACAGTGACCGAAAATTGGCAACATTTTGAAAATAAAGCACGGAAGATTCAAAAATTTGACTCCAATGGAGCACAACTTGAATTATTTTCCATTGTTTCGATTGAAAACAAATCGTGTGTTGAAATTTGTCAAGATTCTCCCATTTGAATCAATTATGACGTCAAAGTCAAACATTTTGACATTCTCAAACATTTTGATACCCGATTATGACGGTTATGAGACAACTCACATAGCGACAACTCACACAGCCACAACTCACATAGCGACAACTCACACAGTGGGACAACTCACACAGCGACAACTCACATAGCGCAACAACTCACACAGTTCTTTTTTTTTTCTTATTTTTCTTTTTTTTAATTCAGGCTCTGGCAAAAATGTATACCTTTCTTGTGTCTAGATTTTCTTTATCCTAAATTAATTGTATGCATTTACAATACAATTTTTATAAATTTTTTATATTTGTGTTTTCAACCTAGTCAAGGATAATTTTGTCCTAAATTAATTGTGTACATTTATCATGTTCTGTATTTTCAATACTTTTGTTTTCAATCTAATCAAGGATAATTCTGATGCATAAAATATACAAAATATACGAATGCTCACCTGAAGCAATGGCTAATCGCCTAAAAAGAGATCCAAAATTGCTGGCAACAGTGAGGAAGGGCTTTGAAGAAGACGTTGCAAAGACGTATATTTCTGAAATCTCTGAAGAAGAGAAATGTCGGATGTTGGCAAACACATCTCACTGGGTTCTCCCGTGGATGATTGTCACCCATCCAGACAAACCTGATAGGCCCAGGAGAGTCATGGACGCAGCCGCAGTAAATGGCAGAGTTTCCCTGAACTCTACCCTGAGAAAGGGCCCACAAGTACAACCCACAGTAACTGGGGTACTCATGAGATTCAGAACAAAAAAGATTGTGGTCAATGCCGATGTCGTGGAAATGTTTCCACAGATTCTCGTCAGAACAGAGGATCATTCAAAACTGATGTTTGTGTTTAAAGATCCTGAGCGTGGCGATAGGTGGTACATTAGTAACCGCCACATTTTTGGAGCCACATGCTCACCAGCCATCGCCAACTGTTGTGTGCAAAGGGTTGGGGAGCTGGAAGGGGGGGAGGATCCCTCCATGAAAAATATAACGACGAGATGTTTCTACGTCGACAATCTCTATGTCAGGTATGATACTGTAGAGGAAGCTCAGGCTAGCGTTGAAAAAATTGACAATGCCCTGGCCAAATACGGCTTTATCTTGACCAAATGGAAATCTAATTTTCCAGAGGCAATTGAAAAGATCCCTGCAGACAGAAGGGTGAAAACTACTGTCGAAATAAAAACAGGAGAAGGACAGGACAAAGTGTCAAAAGCTTTCGGCCTCCTTTGGAATCCTGGTACAGATCAATTTGGTTTCTCTTGTCGAAAAAAGATAGATGAACAGGGTCAGATCAATGAGAAAGGCAGCCTGACAGTAGCTGAGTATCTATCTGTACTAGCTTCTCTATTTGACCCAAAGGGATTCCTTGGTCCATTCACCTTCCAAGGAAAATTGATCATGCAAAAAATTTGGACAAACGCAAAAAATTGGCGCATTCAAATAAACCCAGAGCGGACTGGGACTTGCAAAGACTGGATGCGAGGCATTCTAAAGGTGAAAGAATGGGAAATTCCCCGCTGGTTCAGGTTGGATCCCAACTCACCCACAGAACTGCACATTTTTTCCGAATCATCTGAAAAAGGTTACGGAGCCGTTGAATACTTTCGGCAATCCGGGAATTCAAAATTTGTGTTTGCCAGGTCCAGGGTAGCCCCCACAAAACCAATCTTGATACCAAGAATGGAATTGCAGGGTTGCCTGCTGGGCAAAAGAATGGCAGAAACACTGATCCTGGAATACAAAGGGGGAATAAAGATCTCCCGGATCATTCTATGGACGGACTCAATGGTGGTCCTAGGCTGGTTAAATAACCTTGCCTCGAAGTACATCACTTTTGTGGCAAATCGAGTGGGGGAAATACAAGAATTCCTGGAGGGATCCTCTGAGGATCACCCGCCAGCTGAGGTACGACAAGTGCCAATGAAAAAGAACCCTGCCAACTTGATCAGTTGGGGAACAACTGCAGAAGAGTTAGAAGGTGCCTGGGCATTTTGGATGCAAGGCCCGACTTTTCTGATAGAGAATGAAAAATAATGGCCTGTTCCCCCAAAGTCTTTGGGCAAGAGAACAGAAGAAATGAAAACAAAGCACAAAATCGAAAGTGCATTCATCTTAACTGAAATGGAGGACGTGTACAAAGGTTTTACCCGGCTGTACGAGATCCTCCCCTCAGAAAAAAGAAAAGATGTCAATGAACTGCGGAGGGCTGAAACTGAACTGATAAAAAATGCTCAAGCCCATCATTTCAGTAAAGAAATTGAAAAAATTAAAAAGGAAGGGAAAAGCCTGATGAAAACAGGTCCCTTGTCCATGTGGATTGTCTGGATAGACGATAAAGGTATTGTAAGAACAGAAGGCAGACTAGGGAATGTGGTCGGGCTTACAGCTGAGCAGCTGTACCCAATACTCCTCCCAAAGTCAGCGCCTATCACTCGCCTGATAATCCGAGACATCCATTACAAAAATGCTCATGCAGGAGCAAAAATTACACAAGCCGCTTTGAGAGAAAGGTTTCTAATCTGTTGCATGGCCAGAACTATCCAAAAGGAATTGTTCAAGTGCCCCGTGTGCAGACACCAAAACCCTCTGGCAGTTCAAACAATAATGGCCCCCCTTCATGAAAATAGAGTGGCCAAGGGATCCCCGCCATTTTTCCATTGCGGAATGGATCACTTTGGGCCATATGAAGGGAAGGGGACAACCAAATTTTGGGGTTTATTATTTATGTGTATGACCACAAGGGCCGTACACTTGGAATTATGCACAGGGTTGAGCACCAAAAAATTCCTCCTGGCTCTGTCGAGATTCATTGATTGAAGGGGAAAACCCAGAGTCATGTGGAGCGATTGTGGCACTGCCTTTATAGGAGGTGCAAAAGAAATCACCATGCTCCAAGAAAAGTGCGCCACTGAGTGGAAAACGGAGTTCAGAACAAACCCGCCAGGATCTCCCCATTGGGGAGGATCCTGGGAAAGAATGATTAAAGAAATTAAAAAATGTCTGAGCATATGCCTTCAAGGAAAACGCTGGTCAGCTGACGTGTTTGAAACATGTTTAGTAAAGGCCGAGGCAATCCTAAATCAACGCCCTTTGGCTTTTGATGATGAAGGGAATTCTCTCTCTCCAGCAATGATTCTAAGGCCAGCTTCTTCCTTAGAGGGGAAGACTGAGCTAAATGGATCAAGTCTGCGTATGCTTCAGCATATCGCAGACACAGAAAAACAATTCTGGAAAAAATGGAGAGGTTCCTATCTACTAATGCTGAACGTTGAAAGGAGCCATGGCAGAAAAAGGCTCACTCAGTTAAAAATTGGCGACACTGTCCTTGTGGACGAAAGGGGAGCAAATGCCTTTGTGAACTCTTGGGTAACAGGAAAAGTTGTTGAAATTCACCCCTCCAAAGACGGAGTAGTTTGAAAAGTCACAGTTGAAACTCCGGAGGGAAAAGTGCTGAGAGGCACAAATAGACTTTTAATAACAGAACCTTCAATTCTTGACCAAGATCCATGGAAGCCAATAATTCCTGAAAAAAGCACTCTCGCCTTTGGGGGGAGTGTGAGAAATTGAAGCTTAACTGCAAAAATTTCTGAGCTTGAAAAATTGGTTCATTCAATCCCTCTTTTTGTGCTGGTTTTCAAATGACCTGGGGGCAGTCCCTGGTTACTGCTGAAAGCGGTTCCCAGCCTCTGTCTCCTGGCAACTGGGCAAGGTTTACTCAAAAGGGTCAGACTCCTCTGGAATGAGGCAAGTACATTAACGTGCTTGGTAGGGTGTCCTGAATGGAAGGAACCCAACTATCGTCGCCTGTAGAAGCCCTCAGTCAGGAAAGAAATACTGGTTACCATTGATACTGAGCAACCTCTAGATCTTGCTCGTTTATAGTATGAAACCTTTGTATATTAAAATACTTGGTTATTACAGCCTGATGTAAAAATCCGTGGTAAAGATCCTCAAAGGATCCTTGCGTTTTTAATTGGGCTGCTGAAATTGTTATTTGGTTGCTATTTGTTGATATGTTTTTATTGCAACCTGGGAGTCAAAATGGCTCAAAATTTGATAAGACTCAGTTCTTTATTATGTTGAAAACACCTGCGGAAAGGTGAAACAAAAGGAAATCATTTGAAAATGATTTCATGACTGATCAATTCTGTTTATATTTATTTGATGATCAGCAATTGATTTTATTTGTGCCTACCGCAAATTGCATGTGAAATTCCGGCAAAATGCGACTGGTGAATTTGATCTGGCAGAAAAAATCTAAGGAATCTGCCTGATCCTGTGGGAAGGCCGCCAGCAAGAGGTTCCTGAGTGGATCAATGGAATTATTTTTGAATGAGGAATGCGCAACCATTTGAAGGATTGAAGGACACTTCCCCAACTGCAGACTTTGCGAATTCAGAGGGCGCTCATTTGAGTTTGCCGTCTTGAAGAGCTCGGAGCTCTGAGGTCAAGGAGGGTGGAAATTTTTTATTAAAACGTAGAAAATCCACGCAAGGTACTTGACTTTTTCATGAAAGTGTTGTGCATATATTTTGCATTGAATGTGAAATGTGTTTGCCACTGTAATGACTTATGCATTTTTTGATGTTAACAGTCAGAGCTGTGGAATCAGAAAACCAAGAGAGAAAGCGCTCTTCAAAAATATTGCGATCTGATTGAAACATTTGGAATATAGAACACCTTCTGCTGTGAATAGTCTTAAATCATACTACCTTCAATCGCCGCATTAGTTGTTGGGTAGATAGGTCTCCAACGTCATTTGTCACAAATCGTCAGTAAAGAGTTGTCTACTCGTCCACATTTGCCTGTCTACTTCATAAGTCCGGCATCCTGCTTGGAAAATCAGCAGACCAACTTGTCTGTGAGCATTTGGATGATAGCGCCCCGCACCAAAGCGGAACAAGGCGCCAATTAAAATTG